CCACCACCTGGCTTGTGAATTTGAAGACTTTTACTGACAGAATCTATATAATACCTTTTGAAAAAAAAAACAAAAACAAAAACAAAAACAAAAAAACTCAAAACAAACAAACATACAAAACAAAAAAACAAAAAAAACCAAAGCACAACTAAATATACCTGTTAAGAAACAACACTTCTTTTTACGTGTGGACACAAGTTCTTTGGAAATCCTGTGTTTTATGCATATGTGCCTTACAATAACTTTAGAAAACACAAAAGAGAAGAGAGAAATAACTTACTCGGGGATAATGAAAGCAGAGAAAATACAGGAGACACACAGACTGGACTTAGAAGAGCCTAATTTAAGATTCAATCTAAGATACTGCACTAAAGAAGGATGCTCCTGTGAGGGCCACATGAAGTTATCCTCCCAGAGCCATTTTGTGAAGAAACATAATTCCCTCAGCTCCTCTTCCGAGATTAAATAGGGACAGCCTTGTGTGGTTAATCTAGACTTTTTCACCTGACTTTACCGGGTGCCTGTACTCCACACTGACATCCCCTGACCTTTCTAAGAAACCCTTGGCCTTCCTTGTCTCTCTCTTTAGTCTCATGGCCCACATTAAATTCATTTTCTAGTCTTTTGGGTGTTTGCCCCTCCTTCCTGGTGACCTTTGCTCTCCTTTCTCTTACCCTATTTGGCAACAAATACCAGCATAAACTTTGGCTTCGAAGGGGAAATATAAAAGAGGGCAGGGAAGATCCGGGGTTAGCTAGGAAGTGCATTATTTCTATTCTTGAGGGTCCACTAGAGAGACAGAGAGACGAGAAAGATTTGCCAGTGCCTTGACAGACAACGCTAGGGGCTGTGAACAGAGAGTATCTGTAGGAAAGGTTTAGGTAGCACTTTGGAGAAGCCCCCTATCTGTCATGGGGTGGGGAAGCACCACAAAACCATAGCTGAAAGGGAAAAGAAAACTCTACCACTGGCCTTTTTCCTAGCGTGGCCGCCTTCCGCTCGGCTCAGTGCCCGCCACATGCCCAGGAGTGCGTCTGGATCCTTGCGGGGTGCCCTTCGCAGGTGGACAGTGCTTATGCTATACTGGAAGAGAGCCAGAAAAGTGCCCATGAGAACCAGAAAGCATTCCCAGCCAGCAGGGTCATCTCTCTAGGTCTCTAGGATGGGAAAATCATCACACATAACTGAGCAGCATCGGAGAGCCAGGAAAGCCGAGGGAGAGCACTATCCACACTCTCTGGTCAATGCAATGGTGGGAGATGGAAAGAAATTATGTATTCTCTTGGGAGCAAGGCAGAGAAGACTGGGCGGGGAGTACAGCTCAGTGGTAGAATGCTTGCCTAGCCAGTGTGCATAAGGCTTTGGGTAAAATGCTTGCCGAGCTAGCATGCACTGGCCCTAAGCACAGAAAAAAAGAAAAAAGACAAAATACCAAGTCAAGGGCAAATGTTGGGGTGAGGCATATATTTATTTCTAATAGATAAAAAAAAGAAATAACAAGAAAAGACTAGGTATAAACCTAGTTATTTTACAACAATCTCACTATGCAGGCTAGAGAGTGTAAGACTGTACATGGAAGTTACTCATTCCAACACTAGAAAGTTCTTTTTAAAGTGGGAAAGTAAAAGAAAAAGGAAAGAATTTCATTTTGGGATATAAGAAGAAAAGGATTAATATCCCAGAAATAAAGAGGTGACATTCTAAGAGTGGCTTTACCATAAACTGAATAAAAAGGAAACCAAGCTGGCAGAACATTAAGATTCTGAGCTAAGAATCCACCTCTCGTCTAATGCCCATGTGATCAAATGCTTGACACGTCCCCATCTCCTAATGAAACAGAATACAAGGATACAATAATAATAATAATAATAAAAACCTAATTTTTAGTCTCTGTGGGTAGAACTAAAACTTCACAAACTCTGCTGATCAAACTCAGAATCTCAAAGCTCTGAAGACAAATGAAAGGGGACAATTATCTGGTAAATGCCACACTGCATGGGAATTCCAGACTCCCGAGCTCAGCCACACTCAGCTCAGGACAGGGACAAGGCCTGATGAAGCAGGAAACTGGCATCATCTCCTCCTCTGTGTGCAGCAACAAGGCTTAACTATGTGGAGTTTTCAGGCTCCTAGATCCAAGTAATTACAGAAGAGAGCACGTGCAGGAATTCAAGAAAACTCTTCCAGGACATCAGGCTAGTAAAAGAGGACTTGGGGGAGCTCTGACACACACACACACACACACACACACACACACACTTCTTTAGCTTCTAAGAGTATGTGTTCATTCTGGATAATGCGGTAACTGATTGTGTTATTTCTAGAAAAAGCTGGAAGACAAAAGCATGTTGCTCTTTTTTGCCCTTTCTCTTAAGAGGTAACAACTGTGTCTCCCCCCCCCCCCAAAGTCTTTTACTTAATGTTCAAGAGTAGAGCTCAGCTGGGTGGTTGGTGATGGTGGTGCATGCCTTTAGCCTTTAGTACTAGCACTTGGGAGGCAGAGAGGCAGGTGGATCTCTGTGAGTTCTAGGCTAGCCTGGTCTACAGAGTGAGTTCCAGGGCAGCCTCCAAAGCTACAGAGAACCCATGTCTGGGGGTGGGTAGGGTGGAGGAGGGCGTGTAGAGCTCATCAGCTGGCACCCAAGAAAGGCACACACCTTTCTGTCAAAAATAACAAGTCACTTAATTTTAAAGACCACGTGGGTCCAGTGTCCTATATGAGGGAAGAGCAAACGGCTCGCAGTACAGCTACTGGAGGGAATCGGTCAGGTAGTGACTCGACCCTGTGCTCTATGGAAACAGATTAGAAAAATAACAGACAACACCAACTGCGAGATTTCTTGTTAACTTCAAGTTTTAAGGAAGCTATTTTAAACGACGAAAGTGAAGTTCAGTCTTAGCAAGTCCATGCAAAATCACTTGGTCTGCAGCGCTTTTTAATAAATAACGTGAAGTTCAGTCTTAGCAAGTCCATGCAAAATCACTTGGTCTGCAGCGCTTTTTAATAAATAACAGGAGCAATGTCCTGACAACCTAAGGCTAAGCAGCTTGTGAATCTTCCTGGGGACCAGATGCCACCTTTCATGTAAAGAACAACCATGGCTAGAGAAGAAACTGTCAGCTACCATTAAAAAGTATCCATGACACCCTGGACCCAGTGGGAAGATGACTGTTAAGGGCCACTCGCAGAAAAGATGCTTAAGGAATGAACCACCATCCTCTAACTAAAAATAGGCACAGGAGGGACAAGACTATTTTAAAGCCACTGAAGAGTCCAACACGGTATATTCAACTCCAGGCTTGATCCAACTCTGCAGCAACATTCCATACCTGAGCCACAGGCCTCACCACGGGGCCACCACCCCTCTTACAGTATCAAGGCTTTCCCCGTCTCCCTCATCACGCCACACAGCACGTTAACAGCAGGTTGTGGGGAAAGGAGGAGGGCGTGAGGCAGACCTCATCTATTTTTTCATCCGTGCACTAGACCAAAATTCTGTACTTCTCATTTCAAGACTCCTCAAGATGACAAAAGGGGGAGACAAAAACTTAAATAGTCCCAACAGTTTGTAACGGACTTTGCTTAGGGAAAGCCATAGCACCTGGCCAGAGATGGAGAAGTCAGAGCAGCAATAGTGTTACTGTACAGTTTTAATCACAAGCCCACCTTTCATAGCAAGGTGTCAGACAAGCAACACTGGGTGTCTCTCATTCACGGGAGGGTTAATGAAGGGTCGGTTTGCAACAGACCGGCAACTAAGAGAAGGTAGCATGCTAACTTTAGTGAGGGCTCTCTATCAGTGCTCTTCCTTTCTTTAGACTCAAGTAAAGTAATCTTTACCTACGAAGTTAGGGACTCCTTCAGGTCAAGTCATACATTGCTTTCCAACAGCTTTCTCCCACCCACCCACGGTTCCTTCTTTTAAAGAGTCTGGTATGTTCTAAACTACAAGTTGCCTTTCCAAATAGTCCGGAACCTGTTAGGTCTCCCAGCAGTTCCGACAGAAGGAAACTTTCCTTCAATAGTTGTTCATACTACAAGAGCATATAAAACTAAATTTAAGGAACATCCTTCCTACATCCATTTCTTTCCAATAAGAGTGAGTCCTGTGGGGACATCAACTCATGGTTTACGGGTGGTTGGTGAAACATAGGAACAATCTCTCATATTTCTGAAGAGGCGGTAAGTTTAAGGAGCCATGAAAATATTCTCTTGAGCTTGGGGATTCCGTGGATCTGGAGTCCCACGGAAATTCTGATAAGATGTATTTCTTACATAAAGACCAGGGAGATTTTACCCTTTTTCTGTTCTTTGTAAAATGGTCCTGATGAAGGCCCACTGGGCAGGAAGTTAAAAAGAAAACCTCACACTAATGTTTTCTTCTTTATCATTAAAGAAAAAAAAAAAAAAAAGAACATAATGGGAGGATGCGAACAAAGAAACTAAAACAAAGGGAAGACCGTTCCTGAACACAGAAATGCGCAATACTTAATAACTGCCAATGAGTCTTAAAAAAAAAAAAAAAATTAAAACAAAAAACCCGGGGGAGCACGGTCGGGAAGGCGGAGCAGTGTGTGCATCTAACCGAGGTGGTTTCTAGGCAAACTAGAGGATTCTGAACGAGCAGCCGGATCGAAAGCCGATGCAGAAACTCGTTGGCTGGCAGCCGCCTCCTCGGAGCCCTGGCTCGGCTGCCCGGCCCCTGCACAACCACGGGGCTGCAGGAGCGCGCGCGCGCGGCGGCAGAGCTCGCCTGGGGCTCAGCCATCCCGGCGGCGGCGGCGGCGGCGGCTCGGCCCACTCCGTCCGTCCGTCCGTCTCCCCGCGCCCGCGCCCGCCCGCCCCATGCCCGCCCGCACGTCCCCGAGCCCACCTCCCGCTCCCGCTCCGGCCCGGCCCCGGCTCTCCCAGGCGCGTGCGGCCGGGCGGCCCTGGCTGGTGCGAGCCTCCCTCGTGACGGCCCCGCCCGCCCGCCCGCCCGCCCGCCTCCCTCACTCACCCTCGGTCACCTCCAGCACCTTGATCTGCTCCTCCGCGGCCGCCCGCACCTCCTGCACGGGGGACAGGATCCCGGTGAGGGTGTCCACCAACGCCTCCTTCAAGCCCTGTGCCACCGGACCCGGCAGCCCAGAAGCCGCCCCAGCCGCCGCCGCCGCCGCCATCTTCCCTCCCCTCAGCCCGCCAGCCCCGCGGCCGGGACCCGCCACCGGATGACGGCTCCCGCGTGCGGCCAATCCGCGAAGCCGCGCCTGCGCATGTAAGGGCGCGGGCGCGGTGGGCGGGGCCGGGCCGGGCCGGGGGCGGGGCGCCGTGGCAGCCTCCGGAGACGGCGCCTCCTGCTGCCCGGAACCGAGCCGCGCTTCTGCCCGCCGGCCGGCCGGGGGCGCTGTGGGATGTGTGCGCGCACAGAAGCGCCCTAACGGTTTGGAGCCCCGAGAGCGCGCCTGGAATAAGGGGCCGCGATTTGACTGACACACGCGAGGAGGAGGTCGGATGCAAGTGGGCGGGGAGGGCTTTCAGGAAATGGCACCGATTTCAAGCTAACTGCCCTCCTCCCAACTAAGAGCATCATCGCTCGAGTCAGTCGGACCCGTTTCACTTTCTACCTTTAGAGACCCAAAGATGCCTGCGGGGCGTGCGGAGAAACCCAGGCGGAGTCGGCAGCAGGGGGTAGGCACTCACTGTACAAAGGTTCTAGTTCCCCAGTTTCCCCCCCCCCCCCCGATTACCTGAGCCCAGTCTCAAATGAGAAAATGGGTGTCCAGGAGAAAGTACCTACTTGTGAAAGAGCATTTCTTCGGACTGATTAGGAAAAAACAAAAAACAAAAAACAAAACAAAACAAAACAAAAAACCCCAACTTATTTAGCACGGCTTTAATCCCAGCACTCGGGAGGCAGAGGCAGGAGGATCGCTGTGAGTTCAAGGCTAACCTGGTCTACAGAGCGAGTTTCAGGGCAGCCAGGGCTACACAGAGAAACCCTGTCTTGAAAACCAAAAGCAATCTTATTTCTGTATTTGTTGTTAATTTGTTTTGAGACAGGGTCACATGTGTCCCAGTGTCCCACACTGGCCTCAGACTTTCTATGTAGCTGGTACTGGCCTTGAACTCCCTGATCTCAGTCTTCTTGGGGACAGTCCCCAGTGCTATTACAAGTGTGTGCGGTCACCCATGGCTCCAGTTGGATTCTTTGTGTGATTACTAAGAGGAATCCCGAAAGTATATAACTACTTAATTACAAAAAAAATTGTCAGTTTTGTGTGTGCGCACGCGCGCTGTATTCAAAGACCCAGCCTCTAATACGCCTTATATGGGACACTTGTAGAGGTCAAAGGACAGTTTTAGTGTGGAGTCTGTCTTGAGCCACCTTTATATAAGGTGTTGTGGCAAGTACTCGGCCCCCTGAGCCATCTAGCTAGCCTGAGACCCAGGGGAATTGTGGGTGAAGGGATAGGGGAACAAGAGTAGTTTATTATGGCTAACAAGGACTAGTCAAAGGAAATGGCCGCAACACAGAGACACTACTCAATAGAGCAAGTGGAGGGGATTGGAGCGAGGGGCTAAAAATTGAGGACAGAGTGGCAAACCGTGACAAAATGGATGGTCTGGCCTGTGTTGTTGGAGCAGAGCAGGCATTTCTGGGCAAGCGAGTGCCTTTTGACTCTGCAGTTCCCCAGTAGAGGACAGTAAGGTTTATTTTCTGTCTTACAGTGGCCAGGAGAACCCCAACTCCATTAGAGCAGCTGCCCTCTCAGCTCAATTCCTTTTAGCTCCCAAAGGAAAAGTTGGGTAGTATCTCGAGGACTGGTTCTCCCGACCCTACTAACGCTGCAACCCTTCGTGTTGTGACGACTCCAACCGTGAGACATTTTGTTGCCACTTCATAACTAATTTTGCTACGGTTGGGAACTGTAACGTAAATATCACATATGCAACCCCTGGGAAAGGGTGGTTTGGCCCCTAGGGGTGACCACCCACAGGATGAGAACCTCTCTGTATAGAGGGTGGTCCACACATTTTCAAACCTTGCAGTTGATTGAGGGAGAACTCAAGAGACTTCCTGCCCAGCAAACGGAAGCCTTGACTTCTGGTGAGGGAAACTGCCATAGCTAGCTTCAGCTGTTAACTTGACACAATGCTAGAGTCACCTGGAAAGAGAACCTCAACCGAATCAGACTGGCCATGACCAAGTCTTGGAACCATTTCCTAATTGCTAATTGGCACAGTTGGACCGAGTCCACTGTGCTTAGTGCGATCCCCGGGAGAGTGGGCCTAGACTATTTTAAGACCAAGCAGGGCAATCCAGTAAGCAGCTTTGCTAGGCGGGCTCTGCTTCAAGCTTCTTCTCTGGGTCCCGCCCTTGACTTCCTTTGATAATGAACTGTAATCTCTTGCCTTTGGTCTTGGTGTTTCATCACAGCAACAGAAAGCAAAGTATGACAGAGGCTGCATCCACAATGTGCAAGGTGGGTTCCTGCTCAGCATTTGGGGCCAGATAAGTTTACAAGCAGGTGGGTTTTGCTTCTGACTTAGGCAAATGACCGCAAGTTGTCTGACATTCCAGATCAAGCAGAAAGATAACTGGACACACAAACCAGGCAGAGAGCAAGCTAGAAAACCAGTGGACAATACAGGAGATATCTTTATTGAAACACAAATGGCAGAGAACAGATGACTTTTGCCGGATGGAGACATGCCTGATAGACAGAGGGCCTGGGTAACGGTTAGCCCCTGTGGTGATGGAGGAAGGCCATTTCAGCGGGCCAAAGGCATGGGTTTAATTTTCAACCAATTTCTTATTTAAAATGGATTACCGAGGGGGGCAGCCCAGCTCTCTTCATGATTGTTACCGCGACTATATACAACAGTTTGCTTTCCAGATTCAGTTTTGCCTTTTCTACATTAGGTATAAAAGGGGACAGACTGGAACAGACAAGGGCGGAATGAGAAGAAAATGAGACAAACACACAAGACACACACACACACACACACACACACACACACACACACACACACACACACATCCTGGTTTGGGATTTTGTACTCAGTAAGTTTTAAAAAGTGAACATTCTTGCCCACCCGCCACCTGAGGGTTGCCATGCAGTTGAGAAACACAGACTCTTACATGGGTAGTGCTGTGAGAAACCGGGTAGGGAGGGGGAGGAAAGGAAGCTAGCAAGACCTAGAATCCACTATAGTTTTGTTTTGTTAAAAGCAATAAACAGAAGGCGGTTAGGAAGTGGGGGGGGGGGGCGGGGAGCATGGCCGTTCTCAGGAACTGGCTATAGTGTGGGAGTTTGCTCCCTGTATTCTCCTTCTCAGAGAAACGGCGGGGAAGCAGGGTGATTGGACAGGGCCTGGCTGGCTGGGGGGGGGTGTGTGTGGGGGGTGACTTTAGTGCAATTGTTTCCCCGCTTGCTTGCCTTGGGCTTTAGCCCTTCCTTCCAAGTTAGTCCCTGAGTCCAGGAGACCTGGTGCCAGTGATTTTTAATGCTCTACACAAAAGACTGACAAATTTGAAACAAAACCACTTCTCAGCAGCCTCAGCTCTTCCAGGGCCATAGCAGCTAGTTTAAGGGTCTGGGAATGAATGAATTCACTTTGCTCCCTTGGTTGAGTAGTCTTGTGGTGGGAAAAGGCAGAGGTTGAACCTACGGTCTTAGATACTTTATTTTCGCTGTGTAGAGCTCTTTGCTTGTGGGCTGAGCAGAGACACGGGCCCTCCTGACATACTGGAGCACTACAGCTATTGGCTGCCTGGGGGGGGGGTGGGGGGGAGAGGGGCTGTTGGGGGCTCTCACACTCAGCAGTACTCTTTACTATTTGAAGACGGGAGAGAGATGTTGCTGGGAGAACATTTTGTCATAGAAATGTAAATTAGATTTTATTTTACTTTCCTTATACTATTACCAGGAAAAGAACCCAACAGAACAGCAACTCGGAGGGGACCTCCAACATGGAATCATCCATGGGAGCCATAGTGTGCCAGGTATCAACGCCAGAGGCAAGGGGTTTCCTACTAGAGGCTGCAAAGATACAGCGCCTTCCCTAACTTCCTCCCCAAAGCACCTATTTTCACTGTTCACTCCCAGAAACCTAAGTCTGAGGAAAGTGACAGAAATGTTCACATTTGAATTAGACTGTAGGCGCTTCTGATTAGGGGGTCTTCAAACATCAGCCGTCTCCGGTGTGCGCTGGACCCACCACAGCGCAGCTGGGCACTGTTAGCTACTACGGATCTGACTTGGGAAATCTGGGTTACGGGGCAGATTTTATTCCTGAACACACTCCCACGCACTGCTGTTGCTGGTCTGAAGACATCCTCCGAGCGCCAATGCTTTGAGGGACGAAAGGTTCAATCAAGGCATCAGGGATTCATATCACATGCCAGAGAACGTCCCCTGTCACATAATTGCTAAGGGAAACGGCCGACAACATCACATGGGAACGAACTAGGGTGTCATTTTTAACTGTCCTCTCCCCTGTGGCTACCAAAGTTCAGCCGCTTTCTTTCCTTCCAGACTCTGCAACTTTCCAATTGACCCTAACTTCTCTGTAAGAGCGGTGTGTGCAGGGCTGGGTGAGTACCTGCTGGCCCTCATCCCTGAGCAGGTTAACTCAGGACTGGTGGGTAGGTAAGAGCGGATAGGTAAGAGCAGGGTCTTCAGGCTTCAGTTACTTGAGAGCCTGCTGCGTGTGTGTGTGTGTGTGTGTGTGTGTGTGTGTGTGTGTGGTGGGGGTGGTGTATCATCAAATTCAAAGCTTGCCTGGAATACTTAAGGAATTCAGGGCCATTATGGGCAACTTCGTGAAACTGTCCTAAAAACAATTTAAAAAGTGAGGGTTGGAGCCATAGTGATAGAGTACTTGCTGCGTGTATGAGAGACCCTCGGTTCAATACTCAGTACTGGAAGGGAAAATAAAGTGTACCAGTAACTGTTGCTATAACCATCTTATCCATCTCTATTACCCAGCCTGCTGCAACAGCCAATGTTCTTCTTGCCAAGGGGGTTGGCTCAGGGAGTCCATTCATTAGCTTCAGTTTAGCTAATGCCCAGGACTATGGAAAGAAAGGTAAAGTGTGATAAGGAGCTGGAACTGACGATCTGAGTTACTTCAGCACTTGAGCCCCGTATTAGATTTGTGATGATTAGCACAACTTCCTCTCCCAAACCCTTCTGTCATAAAAAACAAAAACAAAAAACAAAACAAAACAAACAAACAAAAA